TGTTCATTGTACCAACTTCCTATGGGTTCTGTAACAAGTGTCACAAATTCGGTGGCTTAAAACAACACACTTATTTCTGGAGGCCTTGTGTCTGGAGGGTCTAGAAAAGAATCCGTGTCCTCGCCTTTTCCAGCTTCTAGAGCTGCATTCCCTACCTTTCTTGGCTTGTGACCTCTTCCTCCACCTTCAAAGCCAGCATCTTGCTTCTGTCATCCCGTGGTCTTCCTTGTCTGTCTTCTCTTGTAAAGACACTGATGATTGCATTTAGGGCCCGACCACACGATCCAGGATCACCGCCCCACTTTCAAAGTCCTCACTGAAACACGCCTGCAAAACCCCTTTCTCCATGTAAGGGGACAGCATGGGTCCAGGGATTAGGACCTGATAACTTTGGGGTCATTATTCAGCCTACTACACTCTTCCAATAAGCCCCCTGGAACAATGTCATGGCCGGGCCCCAGACTGACCAAGAGCTGTCCCCATCACCGTCAGTGTGACTTCTCACTGGACTCGTTTTGGTGACCTTGCTTCTAGCCCCTGCCCTCTGCACTCACCAGCTACATACTTTAGAAAAGTCCCTTGGCCTCTCTCTAAAACCAGTGTATGGACCAGGTGAGCCCTAAGATTCCTCCCAGAAAAACCAGGTTCTCCCTGGAGGTCAGTGTGGCTACACGCATCACAGGCCGAGCAGTGACCTGCCCGCCTCCTGTCAGGCCACCGCCGGAAGGGGCCTGCTCCGTCTGACTCGTCTAGAACGCCCCTCCGGGGGGAGGAACTCAAACCTCCCTTTAGGTCAGAGGTCACAAAGGGGGTCTGAAGACCACGACCAGTTGTCCCACGAGTTTTACTTGGCCTGCAGAGTTTTCTGAAAAAGTAAAATCGTGGCAAAATAGAAAAATCAAGAGAGTTCACATTAAAACTGATTTCCAGCCTTTCAAAGAAAAACATCAGAAGAGCGGTTAGCACAAAGTCCACATCCTAATGAGACAACCGGCCTTGGGAGCCGGCCAGGGGCTGCCGTGGGCCGATCCACCCAGCCTGGGCCCTGTGGACGCAGCAGTTTGAGAACCCAGCCCAGCTTTTGTGATACGAGGTGCTAGGTCATGACTATTCCTGCTCCAGGGGCCTCACCCCACTTCTCAGCTGCAGCACTGGCCGTAGAGCTCAGACTCTCAAAGGCACACTTTTCTCTTTGTGGGGACCGTTTTCTTTTCTAGCACATACTCCAGACCCAGTTTCCACAGTCCCCAGATCTTCCTGCTTTGACTCAGCCCCCAGCACTCGCATCCAGGTGGAGGCAAAAGCCACAGGCTCTCGGGGTGTGGAGGGCAGGAGGGGGCCAGAGAGAGTGCGGTGTCTGCTGAGAGACGCAGGCAGGCTTCCTGCCAGGACCAGCTGCTCCTCAGCGCCCTCCTCCTGGCCGGGGCAGAGCCGGCGGCCCCCACCTGCAGGCTGGGCCCTGCACACAGGCCCGGCCCACCTGTTCCTCGTCCTGGGTCCTCGGGGACGGTCCGTGGTCAGCACCGGGCCGACCAACAAACACTTGCACAAACTCTGTGGAGTCAGACCCAGACCCCCGCCCACCCCCACTGCGTGAGGGGTCAGAGGGTCCTCCCGGGAAGCCTCCGTTGGAAGGATCTCGCAAAGGTTCTCGGAAGATTTAGAGATGCTCGACCGACTCCTGGCTTGGGTCTGATCGCCCCGCTAGCAAAGTGGAAGGAAGATGGCCCTGGTTTAGGCCTTGCCAGAAAGCACAGAGAGCCCGCCGGGCGGGAGACAGAGGGAATGTGAGGGCTGAGAATGGGGGGGAGGGGGTCTGGGAGGCAAGCAGAGAACCCGAAATCCCTGGGCTCCGCGAACAGGCTATGACAGCTCAGAAAGAGTCTGAGTGGCAACGTTCCCGCCTCTGTTCCCCCGCCCCCAGGGGAGATGCCCCGCCCCAGGCCAGAGCCTTGTCCACCTTCATTTCCCAGTCTTCAGACGCAGTAGGACTTTCAGTGGCTCCGTCCAGTGCTGCAGCCCCCGCCACACATCCCTGTCTGAGCAGAATGACAGTTCAGCGCAATCAAACACGCAGTTTCTCACGGACAAGGGCCGCACCTCCAGGCCCCGACGGCCCTGGGTGTCCAGTGGCTGCCGTCCTGGGCAGCACAGAGGTGGACGATGGCAGAAGGCCTGCTAGCCCCCGCGGGCTTGGAAGGACCTTGACTGTCTCATACAGAAGCAGCACGTGCCTGTCTCTGTTTCTGTCTGATCAGCCCCTAAGCACGTCCATAGTGAGAGCCCCGCTGGTCGGACCGTAGAGCTAAGTGCTACAAGCTGACCTCATGGACGCACCGCAGCCACCCCGCAGGCAGGGCTCTGTGCCTAACCCTGTTTAGAGATGAGCACACCGAGAGGTGGAAAGGGTAAAGGGTCCAGACCCCCCGAGTCGCACAGCTTGTACGCAAGCCGAGCGTTGAGCCCCATTTCATCCGATCCATAGCCAGTGTTCTTAACCATCCGGCTACCCTGCCCTCCAAACCCACCAAGAGGATCATAGGCCCCCAGGGCGAGCACGTCTGTAGCAATAAGCTTATCACCCACAGACTGGGGGTTGGGAATCCACCTAAACCTAATTTTGCCCCTGGGTGAATGGAAGCTGAACAGCTTGTTCCCCGTGGTGCCGTATTAAAAATACTCCTTCCTTGCTAATCACACAGGACTCTTAAATAAGTTTGTGTTGACAAAACACTTCAAAAGCATTATTTAAACAAAACTGTTAAAGGTTTAAAAAGAATGATACAAGCGGCTCCCTCCCTATAGGTTCATACACAACAAGCCGTGTGAGCCATTTCAGAGTTGCCTAGGTAATTGTTCCCTGTGAGTTTTGTAAACTGGCCTCATTCTGAGAGCGAAGTTGGATTACTTACTCTTTAGCCTCTGGCTTAGCATGAACATCCTGACTAGTTTTTCCTGTCTCTGTTTTTTTCTTTTTTTAAACAAAGGAAGGATCTAGGCTGAATATCAGACCTAGTTTCAAATCCCAGCTCTGCTATGTGCTTACTGTGGGACCTCGGGAAACTTGCCTAACCTCTCTGGGCTCAGTGTTTGCATCTGTAACATTGGACTTCGAATATCTGTTGGGATTAAATGAAATCATGTCTGTGCAAGTACCTGGTACCTTACAGATGCTCAGACCATATCAACCCCCTCCCTTCTTTGCCGAATCCCCACTTCCGGTCGGTCATGTGATGTCATAGAATCAGGAGTGTCAGAGCTGAGAGGGATCTTGGTGACATTTAGAGGAGCCCTCTCAGCAGACACTTCCTCCATGTGTCACCACGTAGGTAAACTATTGATTTGAGTTCTGTAGTCAAGAACCATTCCCGGTGTGTTTTGGTAACGTTTTAAAGAGGGTAAAACAGGATGTTCCCTCTGACAGTTGCAGACCTCTCCAAACAGAAGAGCGGAAGTGGCTTTGACGTGGGCCACCAGGACTCCGAGAAACACGGGTGAGGGGTATGGATGGACCCAAGTGAGCAGCTGGACAGGCTGCCCAGGGCCATGGCCTCTGATTCATCCAGAATGACTGTCAGCACCAGATCAGGGATTGGGGGAAATGATGGAGCCCCCAAAGCTGGGAACGTAGAACAGGAGGCTAGACAAGAGCCAGCCTGGACGCCTGGGACCAAAACCAAGATGGGCCACACAACAAGCTGTGGTGCCCAAGGCTGGGGAACAGACAGATACCAAAGTCCGGGCACAGGGGCGGGAGGGTTGAAAAGCAGGCTGTCGGGAAGCAGGAGGGCAGCACTCAGAGGAAGGACAGGTCTGGATCTTAACGCAAAGTCAGCCCATCCCAGCCCCCAGCCCAGCCCCCAGCCCAGCCCGCAGCCCAGCCCCCAGCCCAGCCCCCAGCCCAGCCCGCAGCCCAGCCCCCAGCCCAGCCCCCAGCCCAGCCCGCAGCCCAGCCCCCAGCCCAGCCCCCAGCCCAGCCGTGCTTTCTCTGCGTCCCAGAGGAGGTCAGCCTGTGGAACCCAGCCGAGGTGGGCTCCTCCTGAACCTTCGAGCTCAAAGCCTGGGAGTGGGGAAGGCTTCCTGGTTAAGAAGTCGCACTCTAGGGTCAGGAACGAGCCTGGGTTTGAATCCTGACTCCACCATCACTAGCTGTGTTACAGGCTAGTGATTTAAACTCTCCGAGACTCAGACAGGTGATGGTGGCGGTGGCGGTGGTGGTGATAGTGGTGGTGGGGGTGGTGATAGTGATAATGATGATGACAAATGATGATGATAATGACAGCCTTCATTTCAGATGGATGTAAAGAGTAGGCTGGGATGCTGTGACCTTGAGCAACTTAGCTTGTGTCTCACTTCTGCTGTCTGTACAATGGTGATTAATATTCACATCTCATAGAGTGGTCACAAAGATTAAATTAACCAAAACATATATGAAGTACTCAATAAACACTAGCCATCGTTATTAACAGGATCATTATTTTGGTTGCTGTGTTCTCCTTATTTTCAGAATTCTTCCTATTTATCCTGGGCTGGTATCATTAGTCTTGTTATCGACGCCTCAGCATTGGAACGACTTCCCCCCCGGCCCATAGGACTTGTTTCCTACCCTGTCGCTCCTGCCTCCTGCTTAATTGTGCAAGACAGCTGTGTAAGACACAATTAAGTCTGATGAGCGTTCTTTGTCCAGGGATTCTGCCTGGGAGGGGGTGAAGAGAGCAAAACCCATGTCATGGCCATTCTAAATGATGCTCACAGAGAGGGGTGTGTGCCAGTCACCGGTGCCAACTTGGATGAGTTCACTCTTGTGTGACAACGGGACTGCCTCCCACCTGTCGCTGGCAGTCCCGCGAAGCGGCAGGCGGGGCACCCAGTGCTCTCTGGCTCCACGCAGGGTCAAGTGAGTGAACCGCGGATGTTCTGGACTGACTCAGGAATTCCAGACCAGGGCAACCAGCTGCTCTCTCCTAACGTCAAGCTTCCTCACCTGCCTTGCCTTTCAGAGATTTGGACAGCAAGTCACACAAACCTCTGCCCCTGGGCGTGGAGAATGACCGAGTCTTCAATGAGCTGTGGGGCGAGGGCAACATGCCTGTGGTCCTCAACAACCCGTATTCGGAGAAGGAGCAGGTAAGCGGGTGGTGCCAGCTGGGAGAGTTGGGGCTGCAGCCAGGAGCACCCATCCTGGGGTACAGATTTTGGCTTTGGTGTGTTTTCTTTTCTTTGTGAGCTTGCCATTTAGACATTTTTAATTCTGTTTCGACATTAAAGGCAGTCACATGGTTCTGACTTGAAAAGGTATAAAATATACATGGTGAAAAGTTTGTCTTGCTCCCCCAAACACAGCCATGTGGTTTCTCTCTCTACAGGCATGCAACAGTCATGGTTTCTGCACACATTATTTTCACGTGTTTACACAAATGAGCCTACATTATACATATTGTTTTGTACCTTGCCTTTTCACTTATCAGCATATCTTGGAGAGTAGTCCTAATAGTAGATAAAGGGAATCTTCATTCTTTTTCATAGCTGCATAGTTTTCCATTGCATGGCTCTGCCATGTTCCCTCAGCCAGTCCTCTGAAATGGATACTTTTAGGTCATTGCCAATGTTTTATTATGACATTACTGTAAAGCATGACATTGCAAAAATCTCTCATTTGGCACATGGGCAGGCTTTTCAATAGAATACATTTCTAGAAGGGGAATTGTTGGGTCAAAGGTCATAATCACTTGTATTTGGGCAGACATTGAGAACTTGCTCATAAAGATTGTGCCAATCCTGCCGGCTAAGTTAGAGTGATTGTTTCCCCGCAGTCTTGCCAGCTCCATGTGTTATCAGACTTTTCAGTCTTTTGCCAATTTACCAAGATGTAATTTGGCAGCTGAGCAGATGTGGTTCCTGAGAGTGGTTGGATTTGGCAAGAGAACAGCAGCCCCTTTCTGCCGCCCAGGCAGCTCGTGGGCCGGGCCAAGCAGCCTAGTGGGCCTGTGAGTCCCAGCCCAACCCTGCACGGCAGCGAAGGGCAGGTGGGCTGGTCCAGGTCACTCAGCAGGCCGTTCTCCCTCCACCACCTGCCCCAGGCCCCGGATGGCACAGGCCCGATTGCCAGGCTCTTTCTTCTAGGCAGGATCTGTGGCACTTTTGCCACCAGCTCATCTAAGCAATGACTCATAGTCTCTCGACATAGCTTCCCAGGGAGGATGGGACACTGCAGAGCCTCCGTGAGGACTGCTCTCCTCAGCTGCTGCTGCTGGCCAGGAAGATGAGCACATGAGGCATCTGCAGTAGGTCAGACCCGTGCTCCCCCTGGCCAGTCACCCTACCTCTTGCAGTGACTTCTGGGAATGTCGGAGGACAAACATAATTGTAGGTTCTTGTGCTGCCTCAAAAATCAAGGTCATGCCCTGGCCAGGTAAGGCAGGCAGCTCAGTTGGATGGAGCGTTGTCCCTATATGCGAAGGTTGCGGGTTTGATCCCCGGTGGGCACACACAAGAAGCAACCGATGAATGCATACAAAGGGGGAAAAATCAAGGTCACATTGTGTGCCTGAGGGGACTAGTATCCATTCATGATTAAGTGAACAAATATAGTTAAAATATTCTTTATACTTTCTTTCTTAATTGAAAATAAAGAGGTGTTGCCATAATGAAAACTCTCCCAAGACAAAGGACAGAAAGAGGCAGCCTCAGGCCGGATTCGGGCTATAGACATGATTTGTTAGAGTGACACTGTTTATCCTAAGAGACAGTTTCTATCTGAACTTTGAATTTATTGCCAATATTTCAAAATTTTATATAAATATCATATTTACAACTTCTCTTAAAAATGTGGACAGTCTGACCACATTGAGCCTATATTCTTATGGGGCAATAATCTCCTGGACTGAGTAGCAGCTGCGCCCCACCCCCACCCCCCAGACAGGGCATGGGCTCTCTGGTTTGCCACAATCCCCACCACTCTCTATTGTGCCCCTCTCGTTAAGTCAAGATGAAGTTAAATCTTTTTGTATCCCTGCCTTTATTATAAGTGGCAAGGTGAGCTCTACCAAGAGGTTTATATGTTTCAGGAAAGATGAGAATGATTTCATGTTGTATGAAAATGAAGACTATTCTCATGTATTTTAATACGCAACCATGTGTTCTGTCTTGAAATCGCTCAGCCTGCTTCGCTAATTTACCTTCCCTACCTGCCCCCTTTAGGTATCAGAGTTTGTAACTGCAGGTCTGCAGTAAGCCTTGAGATCTGGGGTACAGGGAAGAAGCAGAGGAGGCCTTGGCCCCACCAGAAGGACCCTTGACCCTTACAATCCTGCTGAAATATGAGCAGCAGGACCGCGGCCATTTCCTGCCGTGCCATCTCCTTGGCCAGACTGCCGTAGCTTGTAAAACACAGTCCTGAACTCCAAGCCTGAGGAACAGGCCTCAGTACTGCAGGGCAGGCATGATGAACAGGACCACTGCCGCCTTCGCAGGGTATCACGGTGAAATGATGGGTGTCTTAGTCTGTTCAGGCTGCTCTAACAGAATACCATAGACGGGGTGGCTTACAAACAACAGAAGTTTATTTCCCACCATCCCGGAAGCCGAGGGGTCCAAGGTCAAGGCCCCAGCGGATTCGGTGTCTGGTGAGAGCCCACTTGCTGGTCCACAGACACAGTCTCCTTGCCGTGTGCTCACACAGCGGAAGGGGCAAGGCGGCTCTCTGGAGTTTCTTTCATAAGGACACTAACCCCATTCATGAGGGCTTCACCCTTATGACCTCATCAGCTTCCAAAGTCCCCGCCTCTTAATACCATCACACGAGAGACACGGACATCCAAACCAGAGCAGTCAGGAAGAGGTGGCGAGAACTTGCCTCAGGGCCTCCTCTACAATGACAGGTCCAAGTCCATGTCCAAGGAGAAAGGGTTCTGGAAAAAGGGGGAAAGACGGAGTCTTCCTGAGGTTAAGACAGCCAAGTGGCTTTCAACTCGGGAGCTCCTGGAAGCACATACATAGACCAACGGTGCTGGATTTCCATTCCTTCCTTGGTCCTCGTCCAATCCTCAGCGTAGCCCACAGGCCAAAGCAGGTTCGAATCCACTGGCCTGTGAGATCATCATCTCTATTGTCTGAGACTCAGTTTTCCAAATGCCTCCCAGAAACAGAGCTGACAGGAGCAGAGAGCCAAGTGCTCAGTTATATTCGGGTCCCGGAGCTAAGGAAGCAACCCCATCCCTCCTGCGAGACATCTCCATAGCCACGGAGCTCAGGAATGTCTCCCAGCCTGAGCAAATGAGTGAAAAGTGTTCATTTTTCTGACCTGGAAGACCAGCTCCTAGGCTTAGCCTCCCCTCTGCCTGCTCAGAGCCGCTATACCTGGACTTCCTGGCATGGACTTCCTTCTTCCCACTTGTAACCCACATTTGCTGCTTGTCTAAGCATCCACTGGGGGAGGGGGTTAGCATCGTTAATAATCCAAAGAGAGATCCAGCCACTACCTGCTTTCCTGAGTCAGGTAGACCGGAGAGGTTGGACCAGTAGCTGGTCTGCATTTTCCCCAAGGACTGGCAAAAGTCAACAGAGAGCAAGTGAAGCAGGGTGGATGCAGGCTAGACATGAGAAAGAACTTCCTGACACTGAAGACTGTCAGCTCTTTGAAGGAATAGTGAGGTCCGTCCCATTCTCCTTCATGCTCTCATTTGTCCAAATTCAAGGAAAATCTCCAGAAAGCTGAATCTTTCATCTTTATCTAGTAATCACTTCTCTTGCTAATAGGCTGGGTCAGCAATGGGTGGGGCTGATGAGACTCAAGTCCCTGGTCACTACAACACAAAATATGAATGACTGTGATGGTCATCTTTAACATCCCCTTGCAAATTCTATCTGGCCTGGGCTGATCGAATGAATCTGTTTGATTCCATCACTGTTCCCCCAATACCTGCCATGCGCATAGTTCAGACACCGTCCTCCCTGTCCCTGAGAACTTCACGGGTGAATGTGGGGATTCAGACATGGATACAGTGTAATTCACCCTAAAATAGGGACACAAAAGGCTGTGGGGACTGAGCAGGTACCTGGAAAGACTGACGTAGGGACGTGGCATTTGGCCGGGAAGTTCACATAGGGTTTTCCTGGAAGAAAGTGAGAAAAGACATTACAGTACAAAGGAACAGCTGTGGCTTCTATAGTGCACTTTTTGTCTTGCTAAGAATCATTATTCAATCTCTGAGGTTGTCTTGGGTGTTAATACCATCTGAGCTACGTATTGAATTTTGACACCCTTAAGTGTCACCCTGGCTAAATGACGTGAGAAACTGCTGTTGGTCTATTCTCCCCGCACAGCCTTAGGTTTGAAGCAAAGCCCCTCGCCTTTCCTTCTTACGAAGTGCCTGCCTGATTTGCTTTCCTGAGGGGGAAAGGGTGGACCCATGCCCTGCTCGAGGACGGAATGTCTATTTTCAGATACTAATTAAGCGTCAGTCCAGTCCTTAGTGGGTGCAAAGGGGGTCTCGAGACTGAGGGGACAGACATTTCCATTCGGTGGTCTTCCCGTGTATTCAGTCCGCGGCCCCTCGGCAGCCTCGTGCTGACAAAGGCCATCAGGCAGGCAGACGGAGGACCTCTGCTGAGACCCCCTCCCCACCTTCACCACCTCCTCAGGAGGGAGCCTGGGGACGCAGGCCTGCTGGCTGCTTTCCAAATGTCAGGATCTGTTGAGAAGCTGTTCTCAGCTTCCCGGTAACTGTCAGCATGACCCTGCTTTCTGGAGAGCTCTCAGCTATGAGGCGATTGGGGGTGCTTGCGGGTCCCCAGTCTTCAGAGGACCAGACACCTCCAGGGCCCCTCTCTGCATGAGCACACCCCCCAGCTGGCTAGGAGTGCTGGCTTCTCTGGAAGCCAAAAAGGGGACAGCCAAACCCAGCGAGATGGTGTCCGGACGACGGCGGACCAGAGGGCCACTGCTCTCCGTGACAACCCCGCGTGCCGAGGGGAGCCCTCTAAGTCAGCCTGCCCCACTGCACGTTAGCAATGTCAGGATAAAAATAACAGCACTGACGACGCCACCTTGCAGGGGGTGGCCGTTCTGCCCCTCCTACTCGCTCACCCACAGCCCCGGGCCAAGCACTCGGCGTGGGGTCAGCCCA